TGGAACGGCGGGGAAGTGGTCATCGCCAAGGCCAAGGCGCTAGCGCTTGGCCTTTTCTACGACACTCGATCACACGAAATGTGGCACCGTTGGGCCGTGGATTAGTCAAGTCAGCGTACGTTATCGGACGTCGGCAGATCCCCGAGCTCAATCTCGCCGTGCTCGTCGCGCACCACAATCTCTGCGGGTCCCATGGCGGACGGCGGCCCGCCGTCAGAGAGGACATCGACATCGAGGCGGAGCGTCTCGCCGCCCCCGACATGACCGTTACCGTTGCCGTGAGTAGCAGCAGCAGTTGAAGAGCTCCCGCCTGGTCCCACTCCTCCCATCGTCGCAGCAGCAGCAGTGGCAGATACAGATCCCGCGCCGACAGTAGAGGCCATGGGCTGCCCCGTCGTTCCCGTTGTCGTAGTCCCCGTCGCTCGCCTCGTAAGTCCCTGGAACAAATTCCGTCGGACCGCTCGTCGCGGGGCGCCGGGCGGTGGTGGTGGTACGGCTCTCGAAGTCCTGTCTGCCATCTTTCTCCCTCGCCTGCTTTTCCGTCTCTTGTTGGAATAGTATGCTGTAATGGCGACAAAGAGTCGCTGATCTCCGATCCTCCTTCCTTGTTTTTTCTGATACTTCCTCTCAGTTATAAAACGTGTAGTTAGGAAGCGTCTTCCTGCTGTTACAACTCAAGGATCTCAATTCGTAAAATAAGACAAGGATGTTGGATGTTGAATCTTCTCAAAAAGGGGGATTGAATATTGAGTCGGCAGGTATGGGGCTCGTAATGTGTAAGCGCAGGTCACCCCTCTGTTTACATTTGGAGGGTGAGGTCGTCCAGGCACCGCAATGCAGTGAGGTTGTTATCGATAAGGGGCAGTGCGGAGTACCAAGAATACAGGCAAACACAGTGCCTCATGTAGCACCTACCTCATCACCTCACCGTGCTCACTTCGCACCTCACTTACACGGTCAAAACATCACGACCTGGAACAACCAAATTGAACATCATTTACTTCATTGACTGCATTTTCGCGTAAGCTTTTTATGTTACAGAACCATCCTAGCCTGGACATGCATGATTCCCATTATGTATCGTACATTAGAAAAACTCCCACAGCCGTGACGAAGACCTCCAACCGATCGATACCCAGTTCCCAAATACACACAAAAAGAAGAAGATAAGAAAAAACCGGTAGAAAAGAAAACGCCGAGATATGCATACCCCGAGCCCACCCAGTCATAACCGCTCAAGTCCCTTTTTTTCGACATTGCCTTCGCGCATTTCAAATCAAACAAAAGACAAACGACGCAGTAAATCGCGGCATGATCATCCCACACATACCCACTCGGCAAAGACGCACCAGCGGGCGGTGCGGTCTGCCAATACCAGCCCCCTCCACACTCCCTTCTCAGAACACTTGATGATGGTCTCCCACGTCCCACCATCACTGAGATCCTCTTCAGCCCCTCTACTGCCGACACTGACTCCTCTGCGCTCCTCTTTCCTCATAAGACGGAGAATTTTGCCGCCAGGAGTCTGAATCGCCAACTTAGCCGGCTTCTTCCCACCGGCAGCTGCTGAACTGAGGTTCGAGCCGCTGGCGCTGGAGGCGGTCATACTCATGGCGGAGCTCGGTCTTATAAAGGGGATTGGGCTTGCGCCTCCAGGATTGGATGACGGTGTCATCACCGAGCCGACCGCGCCCGCAGAGCTGGGATGCTGCCGAATTGCGAAAACAAAAGTGTTGTTCAAAGCCAGACGTTGACATTGAGGCTGAACAACGTAGATATCGTGACGCTGTGCATGAGGCGTCGGGTGCCGCGTCACAAACTCGTACGGAGGGTTCTCGCCCGTATGAATGATGGGCAGCGCGAATGCCACTGGATGAGGAATGTCTTTGATGCTATGCATCAGACCACGCTTGCCGGCATAAATCTTCAAGACTCCCTGGCCCTCATCACCAGGCAGCAAAGCCTTGACGGTGTATCGTTTGGTGCCGTTGAACCACTCCGCTTGAGCCAGCGCTCTCTTTTTCACAACTTCGCCGCTCTCGAATACGTCACCATCGACATCTCTGGTGTAGCCGCGGACTTCGACTTCAGCAGCAATCTCGACGTCAGGTGGAGCGTTGAACTTGACATGTACCATCTCCAGATCCTCGATGCGAGTTGCTGCCGTATTGTAATCGACCATCTCGAGCGTGTTCTTGAAGAAGGGAGGGCAGGCGCAAGGCAAGTTGAGGAGAACTTCATGAGCCTGTGGCGGGCACATGTGTTGTTGAGTGTGGTGTTCAGGGATATGTGTCCAGCAGAGCTCTGTCGGCCGCGTGAGGAACCACCAAAAGTCCGCGGCGCTGTTGCTAGCACTCGAGTAGAGATGCCGCCTGGGATATGAAGGGCTGGCCATGCAGCAGTCAATCATTCGCCAGTCGTTGTCGACCAGAACCGCATTCCACCAGTGATTCGCCCGAGGCATGATATTGTGCTCTGGAATCTCGCCGGGCGTCTTGAGGTACCCGCGGATGACCTCGCACTGGATACCAACGGCGGAGCACATTTCGTACACAATGACCGCATACTCTTCGGCACTCGCTCGCTTTGACTGCAGTACCCTCCGAGTGTCTACTTCGCCTTCAAAGTCCTCTTCCCAGACAAGCTTCTCGGATACCCAAGTAAAAATTGCCCGCAGTCTCTGGACGTCGCTGCGGTATGGTCGACATACATAGGTTGTTGCCAAGCTCTGTGCTGTCGTCGTTGGTGGAAAGCTAGCCACAAACCTCGAGTTCTTGTCCACCTGGGTGAGATTTATTGATTGGTAGTCGATGGGGTCCTCCACAGGCTGACCGTCGGCGCCCTCGTCACCCTCCATGCCTTCGTACAACTCATCGACTGGGTTCAACGCAGGGTAGTCGAGCATTTGGCAGCGATCTTTCCGCTCGTTCCTCTCGTTCTTACTCAGAGAGTTGGATCGATTGACGTCTCTGCGGACCTGAACCCAGTCCACTCCGCTTGCAAGCCCCATTTCCCTGGCTGCTTCCCTACCGAAGCCAGTGCTACCCAAGTTGGTCAAGTTGGATACGCTAGCACCAGCTTGAGCGGCAACATTGGGCATGGATCGAGCAAAAGGCGACGATCTGGGCGAGTCGGCACCCATGGCAATACTACTGCGCCCGGATGCCACCCCGGTCTTGGCTGTGTCGAGGAGCTTCTTGAAGATGTTCCTCTTTGGGGGTTTTGGGGTGACGAGGCCTCCAAGGCCAGCATCTTCATGAAAGCCAGCTTGCGACTTTGGCCGAGATGCTTCTGAGGCGTGACTGCTGTGATATGTAACCCCGGTGAATGGCGTTTCTGGGCGCTCGATATCAGCATCACGCATGCCCAGGGCACTCTGGGCCCGCTTCTGGGTTTTGCGAGCGAAGCTGCCAGCGCTCGTTGCGCTAATAGCGCCGGCTGACGACCCACTCATCAAACTCCTGTCGCTGCTTTGCGTCGTTGAACTCTGATTGCCTGAGGAGGCGCTGGTAGAGTTGGTCTTCGTCGTAAACGTCCTGTTCAGGACGTTGCGGCCAATGTCGTAAGCCGACTTGCGCCCGCGAAGCTTCCTCTCCTCCGGTCCACCCATCGAAGACTTGGGTCTCTCGTATAACTGGCCTTTGGGGGGTGGCTTCGGTGCCTCATCCTCAAGGTCAGCCATACTTGCGCTATGTTGATGCATTTTTTTGAGACGACTTTCCATACGTTCGACGTAGTTACTCAGTTGAGGTAGCTGCTCTTTATCCTCCCGATGTCCGTTATGATAGGATTGGTCTCGTGACGATCCGCCGCTCCAGGTTTCGTACCCTTCGTCCTGTTGTGCTATGCCCATGGATGTCTGTGGTCTTTGGTAAGTGTTCTTTCTCCTAGCGCGGTCATTCACCATATCAAACGACTCGGGCGACCACGGATCCAGTGGCGGCTCTGGTGTCGGATCTCGAGGCATTCCCAGTGCGTCCAGCTGCTCGATCACGCCATCCATTGCCTCTCGCAAAGGCGAGGGAGTCATATGGCTTGCTGATGGCGAAGGTGGAGCTGGGGAGTGATGCCGCTGAGTCTGTATCGGCGATGGCCGATGAGCTTGGTATGAAAGATGAGAGCCGTGCCTGTCCAGAGGAGGATGGCGGTTATCATATGAGGCGCTCGAGTCCTGTCGCACGACATCGAATCGCTTGTCAAAGGAGTTACCCGACCCATGTCGACTGGAAGTAAAGCGGTTTTCGAATGAGCCGTGCGAGTCCTGACGAGAGCTATCGTGCCTGCTGTCGTAGGATATGCTTTGCTTGTGCCGTGAAGCCGCTACATGTCGGTGCGGAGGTGGGGCCGGGGGTGGAGGAGAATCCACCTTTTCTCGTGTGGGAGGACGGTAAGGCTTATAGCTGACTGAGGGAGCCGGTGACGGGCCTCTTGAGTGGAAGTTGTGGGATGGCGGTATGGGAGACGGGCCCCTTTCCGTGTTGTAAGAGTTCTGTCTTGATCCGTGGCCGTGGCCATAGTCGGGGACGGGCGTTCTTTCTCTAGGGGGTATTGGTGTTCTCTCCCTTGGAACGGGTGTTCTTCCTCTTGGCACAGGAGTCCTTCCTCTCGGCATGTACTGCTGTTGCGCGCCATCGTTGAACGAGTTACCCCGCGATACGTAACCGGTTGGGGCTGGCGACGTGTATGCTCGCATTCTAGTCGAGGCGGTTTCATTGAAAGAGTTCTCTCTCGAAAGGAAGGCTTCCGGGGCCGGTGACCGGTCTCTTCTGGTCTGCTCCTCCATTGCACTGTGAATCGACTCTCCAGAATGCCCTCTAGGCCTCGGATTTGGGTTCGTCCGGTACACCTCGGGCTGTTTCGCAGCGGTGTAGTGCGGTGCTTTGGAATAGGCCTCGAAAGGCTTTCGGAAAGTCCTCGACTTTTGAGGTGTGCTTGGACTCGGTGTGTTCTCTGCTGGGAGAGGGCTGGCTGACCTCGTCGTTGGTCTAAAGTTCGCGGGGAGAACCTCGACGAAATTGGAGGGAAACACTCCCACAGTCCTTCTGTCGCGCCATAGTCTTCCTGTCCACCATGAACCATCTCCAGCGTTAAGACATTCGATCAAATCACCCTCGATGAAGCCGAGATCTCGTTTAGACTGCGGGAAGTCAAGTCAGTACTTTGAAAGCCAGTCCTCTCATCGAGGCTCGAATAGCTGCAACAAACCTCTCCGCCCCAAGAGTAGACTGCTCTGCACCAGCACGGGAACCGTGTCGGTAGAGATTGTGGTGCAGGCACCATGTTGAAGATTCGGCAAATGCACCTGCAATCGGGAAGGCTGCTGGTAGGAATGGGACTGTTTGCGTGTTGATGTCGAGTGCCTCAGTGGCTGTTGGCGGAGCGTGGCACTCGGCTCACGCAGTGACAAGTTGATTTGACGCGATTGTGTAAGTTGCAATGAGGTATCGTAACGGTCATGCAAAGGCGTGGACGCGCGCAAAGGCTGTTGGCAAGGAATGATGACAAGATCGAGCTCCCGCAGCGAAGCGAGAGGCAAGCGAGAGAGAGAATTCAAGGCTCGTGGGAATTTTTTTGCAAGCCTCTGGGAGTTTGTTGTTGAGGAATGCAGGTGAGGCTCGCGTGCACGGCGACAATGACCTTGTTTGAGTGGGTAAAGGCAGTTGGTAAATGCGCGAGGTGGGCGTGGGCATGGGAGTTGACGTCGGGTGTGGTGTGGGAGATGGTCAATGTTGGCGGAACAAAGTACAAGTCGGGTGGAAAGTCGATCTGTCGGACACGACTTCCAAGAAGGGGATGCGGTGAATGTCAGCGAAGCCGGGGGTGCGGACCCGGGGCAACTAACAAACAGAGGGGCTCGTTGGCGGGGGGACGTCGGGAGTCTCCAGAGGGGAGTCCAAACACTGGCAACTGGACGCAGTAAGGTAAGGTACCTTGTGTACCTGTAAATCAGGGCCTAGGCTTACCTTACCTTACACAGTACATTAGGTATGTATGTACTTGCCGTAAGTCAGGGCAAGCTTGTAACGGGTTGCGACCTCCTGTGCGGCTGGCGCATCTCCACCGGCGACTAGTGGGACCCTCTCAGTGCCTCCTTGGCGCGGCGCTAAGCCTGGCATGGCACATCTGAGGCCCCTGGACCTTGGAGAAGTCTTGGAAATCTTTCGGTCACCGCCTGCGATGCCGAAAGCAAGGACCACTGACCAAGTATTTCGCACCTTTCAGAGCACTTGGATTCGGTACCTTGAGGCTTGAGGTGGGCAGAGACCCCGTCATCTTTCCCACTATTAACCTTCTCTTCAGCTTGCCTGATCCAAGTCGTGTTATCGCCCAGCTGCCCACGGAGTATTACGTCGCAGATACACAGATGCGTGGAGACTGGAGTAAGGTAGATTCTCCCTTGCAGTACGTATCACTCGTTGAGATACGACTATCCATATACTGCGTAAGCCTGCACATTGTCTTGGCCAGCTTCGGCAAGGGAGAGAGGAATCCAACCCCGGCCAGCTTTTAAGAGAGTCGGTAAAAAAAGGCTTGTCTCCTAGCAGCAAACCTGGGAGGACCTGGGATGACAGCAAAAACGAGAGACGAGAATGAGGCGTGAGTGAGGATGTTCTCTGTAGAAAAGCAGGGGCACTCGTAGGCACGTCGTTTTAGTGCGATGAACAACGCAGCGCCGTCTCATGGGGAGGCCCTGCATACCTTAGCTTAGCACCATCGCACACCAAACACATTGTCTGGCGCCGACTCACTTGCCGTTGGCAACCAGAAATCTGCAAGGCAACGCAGCTAACGTTTGGCGCGTCGAATAAGGTCGCACGAAACTTGGATGGCAAGACAGACTGACGGGCGACAAGAAAGTCTGCAAGCCGGATCAAGGCCAGATCAAGGTCACGCTCGCAATCCTTCCATCTCTCTGGCATGCAAACGACGCAAGCACTCACACGACAGCTATCAGTGAGCACACCTCTTTCTAATCACGTAGCACACTTTGCATTCTCGCCCTCGCCCGTTGTATCCGTACGTCTCTTTCTCTCACTCCATCTCTCATGCATATCAAGGAAGCACTAAACACCAACCACTCCCACATCTTATTCTCCTCCTCCGCTTTCTTTCTTGTTCGCGATTCTCACGATGCTTCAGAAACAGCGGCTCTCGACCGATCTCTCTTCGCTTGCTTTTTTCGTCGCAAGATCGGCTGACTCGCCCCGGTTCATAGTACACTACAAAGTACCCCCCCTGGTGCTAAATTGCGGTTCCCCGGAGCTCCCCCAGCTATACCAAAACGGAAGAAAGTAAACAAAGGGCCCGAGCTTTGCGACGAAGCACCGTCCAACGCCCAACTCGACACTCGACCACGGCACCACAGTACCACGGCCAAAGTGGGAGACCAAGGGGGAAAAAAAGACCACTTTCACCTTGGACCAGGCCCTGGACTCCCGCTCGACAAGCGAACAAGCGAACAAGCCCGCCCGCTACCGCCGCTGTCCCAAGCAACCAGACTGCTGTCGATCCGCTTGCTTTATTAAACCCAATTGCTTTTGGTCCGCCCTAAATACACAAGCCAGGCCGTCCTGACTGACACACGACAGCCCGTTCCCTGGATACCCATTTCTTCTCTCGAAACTCTCCTAGCATACTGTCGCTTCGCCTGCGCAACTCTCTTCTCGAAATCCCTCGGTCTAGGACTCCCGGGTCGACCGTCGCCAGCTCCTCCCTCCCTCCCACTCCATCTTTGCTGCAAGGAATTCTGTTGAGCGAACAAAAACGATTCAATGACGTCCAAATCGGCCGCGATGGCCGACGAGGGTGTCGCCGAACACTATCAAGTTCTGGAGGAGCTCGGTCGTAAGTCTTGCCATTGTCTACGTCCTTTTGGAAACAATTGCGCTGACATGATGTCCAGGTGGAAGTTTCGGTGTCGTTTACAAAGCCATTGAAAAGGCCACTGGCGAGACGGTCGCCATCAAACATGTAAGTCGACGCATCGCATCTTCGACCTGGTGTACTACGAACAACAGACTAACAAAGGCCTGCGCAGATCGACCTCGAGTCAAGCGAAGATGACATTCAAGAGATCCAAGGCGAAATCGCTGTGCTGAGTACATGCGCGAGTTCCTTCGTCACGCAATACAAAGGCAGTTTCCTGCGCGGCCACAAGCTCTGGATCGTCATGGAATATCTTGGTGGTGGTTCATGTCTCGACTTGGTATGTCACTTGGCGCAACACGTTTGCCGGAGTCCGGCTAGCTAACATTCCTCAGCTCAAACCCGCCAACTTTGCCGAGGTCCACATCGCCATCATCTGTCGAGAGCTTCTTCGTGGTCTCGAATACCTCCACGCCGAGGGCAAAATCCACAGAGATATCAAGGCTGCCAATGTTCTCTTGTCCGAGGCAGGAAAAGTCAAGCTGGCCGATTTCGGCGTCGCCGCTCAATTGACCAATATCAAGTCCCAGCGGAACACCTTCGTCGGCACTCCTTTTTGGATGGCCCCCGAAGTCATCCAACAGGATGGCTATGGTTTTAAGGCAGACATCTGGTCTCTCGGAATCACTGCCATGGAGATGGCCAACGGCGAACCTCCCCTGGCGCACATTCATCCGATGAAAGTTTTGTTCCACATCCCAAAGAACTCTCCTCCACGACTGGAGAACAACTTCAGCAAGGACTTTAGGGATTTTGTTGCACAGTGCTTGGTCAAGGACTCTGATCGCAGGCCTTCGGCTAAAGATCTCCTCCGTCACCGATTCATTAGATCGGCGGGCAAAGTTGAGGCCCTTCAGGAGCTGATTGCGCGCAAGCAGATGTGGGATGCGAACCAGAACCGGAGGTCCCATCCCACCTTTTACCAAGAGACCCTGCATACCATGTCTTCCAGGGACGACACGGACGAATGGGTGTTTGACACGGTCAAGTCAGTGGCGCCAAAGCGGCCGAATGGTCATGCACGGAAGCCTTCCTACTTTGCGGCAGAGGAGGCCATGCGCCGGCTCGACCCCAAGGACGCGCCGCTCGGCCCTTCGTCACCCGCTCCCGGGACAGTTCGCCGGTCGACTGTGCGTCGCCAGCCCTCGAGCCGCCAGAGTTCCGGCACACAGATCCAAACAAACGGCTCGCCTCGCTCGACCGTCGCTAGACGGCCTTTACAACCAGACATGTCGTACGGTAACTCTGGGTCCTCCGTGCGGCTCTTCCGCCGGGTGCCCTCGGATGGCTCCGTCACCGCATGGGAGGACACTTCGCCTGAGGGTACTATGGGCAATGAGAACAAAGCACCGATGCGGGCAGCCGCGATTGATACCAATAGCAAAGAGGCGCTGCTTGGGCGGCGACTCTTTAACAGGGTCCTGGACCCTACCCTCGCCGAGCTTCACGCGCAGACGTCAGGCATGCAGAGGCGGGAGGCGCTTGCGAAGCTCACCGATGCCTTCGCGCTTTTGGACTCTGTTGATCCCGAGGGTGCCTACCACCTCATGCAGAACATGATGACAGCTGTCTCCCAGGATCCCAAGCTGAACCAGGCCTTGATGCCCCAGCAATCGGTCAAGATTCCGTCGGATGGCACTCCCCAAGGAACGGTTATCATCAGGAGCGCCGCTCCCACGCCATCAAGCAGCCCGACCAAGCTGATGATGGCAGCAAACAACCCACACCTCAAGAGCCATAGGAGGCGCAATGGGTCGATTGCGACACCCGAATCTGCCGAGAAGGAACGTAGCGAGAAGACGGCCGTGGAAGCCAAGTATCCCGGTCGCCCTCCCCGGCCCGGTATGGAGCACTGCAAGCAGCTATCGGACGTGCTTTACGGCCGGTGGACGGAGGGCTTGAGAATCAGATGGCCAGCGGTCTAGCTCCGATCTCTGTTTGGCGGTCATCTGAAGGATATGGGTAAAGATTGACACAACATTGTTATTCACGAGAAACATGCTGTATGATGAGAAGTGTATGAACACGTCGCAGCATACCGGGTTGGACAGCACACACAAAAAGCATTGGGAGAGAGTTTTCATTTCAGCTTTGGGCAGATTGGAGAGTTACCACTGAGGGTTAGGCTTGGTTTTCATTTTCTATCCGGATGGAAGACGCTGATGATGGGACTGACTTTTTTCCGTTGATGATCTTACTTTCACGACGGGATGAGTGTCTACACGCGGCCGATTCGGGTTTTCATGTTCGCTCTTCTGCTTCGCATTGGGTTTGGCGTTTTTTGGTGTCTTTATTTGGTAGTAGTTAGATACCTCCTAGGTAGCGTTAAGATTGCGTTTTTTCAACAATGAAAAGGCATTGGTTGCGGTATGATTCATGTTCCCGTTTGCGTGGAGATTGTGTGTAAAACATCGTGATTGATATTTGAATTGGCCAATAAGTAGTATCCTATGGCTCCTCCGCCAATGGGACATTCTTCATGGAGAGCTTTATTCTCCAGTTGATGAAGTCGTCCGTCAAGAGCTCCCCGTGCCCGGCCTCGTCGACTTTGAAGACTTCAATGGTGGGCTCGCCCGCCCGCCTGCGTATCCTCCACACGCCGTCATCGTTGATCGTCTGCCGAAGCCCTGCGACTGAGGGTTAGTGACGGCTTTATTCATACTCAAGCAGCTAATGTAGTAAAATCGGCACGACAGAAGGTAGGTTTAGAGGAAATATGGAAAAAGGAAAGTAAGAGAGTTCGAGATGAGAAGGGAGTAAGGGGGCAAGGGAGGAGAGAACCCACAAACGAGAAACTCGGCGGCGAAGTTGACGCACATGTCGCCATTCCACGTCGCTTTCCCGCGGCGCAGGACGGTATCGGGTATCTTTTCAGTCTCAATCTCCTCGACGTCGGTGAGGATGCCGTGGCGGTTGCGGAAGCCGACGATTATTTTGGGGACGCCAAGGAGGAAGGACTGGATCCAGAACTTCATGAGCTTGCGGTGGAAGTTGTCGACGTCGCGGTCGTCGCGGATGGCGAGGCTGGTCTTGAGCTCGACCCAGTTTGTGGGGGCGCCCTGCTTTTGGGGCTTCGAGTCCCAGACTTTGGAAAGGGTAGCGTAATGTCAATAGGCGATGACGATAAGCTGAGTGGGCGAGATGAGGGACAACGTACCGGCGTCGACTTCGCCGCCTATGCAGATTACGGTTTGTCCTATACCAGTCCTGACTACGGAGCAGTATTGGGCCTTGTTGTTCACCACCTCGACGTCTCTGTTCTCGATGTATTCTCTGGGTGTTTCGCCCCAGGTGTTGGGGAGCGTGGCCAACGTCTCGAACTTGTATCCTGAGTTTCCGATCAGCATACTTCATCTGTCTGGCAGAGGAAGAAGAGAGGCTCTAGTATACCCCAGAACTGCATCACTTCGGGCGGGATCGGTCCCCGTCTCTGCTGTGCGTTTTGCTGCTTCTGAGACGCCACTTTGTACTCGTGATTCTCTTCAATGTAACTATTCCAATTGTCAGTCTGGCCGGAAGGGATAGAATCGTCACGACGTTGCTGTGCTTGCCGTACATGCAGTCCTGATTTATGTTTTGGTCAGCTCAATTGTTTGTATGCGGAAGTTATGGGAGTGTGTTCATGCGCACTTGGTACAGCGTTGCGTTCATTTCAAAGCTAGCTGTGCTGTCAGCCCCCAATCATTTGAGTAAATCTGCAATGGTGGATGCAAGACTAACCCATCACGATCCTCAAAGGGCGAGGCCATGATCTGTTTTTCTCTTGGTTAGTTGTGCCTGGGACAGGGATAGCAGGAGTAACTTCATGCCTTGGTCATCATGCCACGCCATGTCACGATTTGGGCGTCAATCTTTTGACCCGTCTCCTCCTCGTGAGCCTTGATCGTCTTGAGAAGAGCTGTTAGGTGCTCGGGCTGAGAGTCGTCGTGCTTGATAAAGGTATCATAGCCTTTGGATAAGTCGGCGCCGAGGGTAGGTGGGTAGTAGTATCTCAATGAAGAGTCGCCTAGATGGAACTCATGGTTGTTGTCATATGAGAAGCAAGCAAACTCCTGATCCGTGTTAGTCACAATGTGTTAAGTTATTTCATTGATACATGAGACTCATGTTGACGAGATATCCACCGCAACAAGAAACCCGGGATGCATACCTTTGGTCGTTTGACCGGCTGGCTTGCGGCATAGAAACGCCCAATAGGCTGGATGGGGAATTGTTCCGACATGACGGCTGATGATGCAGCGTAGCACTTGGATCCGAATTTCAGAAGGCGTCGTGTTCTTCCAGCAGGCATCCCATTATTCAGGAGTCGGTGTGAGTAACGGGCTCGGTCGGCAGCCCCGGTCTCAAGCTTCGGTATCGGGAGTTGAGAAAGGAGCGTCTGCGGCGCAACGGTGCGTCAAGACGGCAGGGCGGGTCAATTGGCATGGAGTCCGTCCGGGGTTGGTGGAGAACTGATGCCGACCGCTGAAGCGAACCACTGATAGCCCTGGGTGACATCCAAACATCGCTGAAACATGCATGCGGACGGCTGGGCTAGAGCCATCCGGCACCCCTAGCTGCAGCGGGACGCCAGCACCTTCCAGGTTGACAAACCAGCTCCGTCCACTTCAACCACGAATACAACTTCATCAACTTGGAATCCTCACCCCCCTTCGCCCGATCACCTACAGATTGACAGCACGATTGACTCGAGAATAAGCGCCGCATCTCTCCTTCGAGCCGATCGTCGCTCCCTACCGATACTTGTCGGTCCTCACTCCCTGACGACCCCTCGTTCGCGATGCGATTCCCCTCCCTACCGACCTAATTCGCTATACATACCTGCTTCCGCACCATGTCCAATCGGTACGGCGGTGGCGGCGGCTACCGCAACGGCAACGGATATGGCAACTTTGGCAGGCAAGAAGAGGATTACGATCCATACGGGAATGGATATTCAGGCAGCGACAGAGGAGGCGGCGGTGACCGATACGCCGTGGGATCACCGCCAGCGATGAACCCCCGATCACCACCTACACTTCGAAGCGGCGGCCCACCGCCAGTCCGCAGCCGCGAGCGCATCCAGGAGACGAACGCGGAAAGACAGATTGGCCAGGTCCTTGAGCGCGTCAAGGTGGAGTGGCCGGCAATGTGCCAGACCGACTGCGTGCCCGTCCAGCTCGCCCTCCAGCTCCTCGACACCAGCTCCGTAGGCCGCGCGCACGACTACAACCAGTTCCGACAGACGCACGACTATCTGCAAAATTCCCTCAAAGGCATCGTCCACGAGCACCACCAGGGCTTCAACAGTTCGATCGGAACGTTCCACAAGATCCAGGGGAGCATCCAGGCCTCGCAGAAGAGGGTGCGCACGCTCAAGGACTCCCTGCTGACGTCCAAGGTGAGCCTCTGCACGTCGGACCCGGACCTTAAGAAGCTCTCGGCCACATCTCAGGCTTACGATGAGCTGCTCACCACGCTTAACGAGCTGGAGGAGCTGCGTCTGGTGCCGGATCAACTAGAAGCCCGCATCTCCGAGAAGCGCTTCCTAAGCGCAGTCGAGGTCTTGCAGAATGCTCTGCGCAAACTGAGGAAACCAGAGCTGGACGATATCGGTGCTCTGAGCGATCTGAGGGGCTACCTTGCCAATCAGGATACAGCACTCATGGACATCTTGGTTGAGGAGCTTCATGAGCACCTGTACCTCAAGTCGCCGTATTGTCAAGAGCGGTGGCAGAACCTCGCCAAGACTCAAGGCGCTCTCAAGGAGGGCAATTACGAATCAATCACCATTGCTCCTTTCCACCAGGTCTTGGACGCCATGGATTTCGAAGCATCGGCGACTGAAGATCCGGCCAAAAACCCGGAGGCTGACACCTTCTCATACGTGTCACTGCTCGTGGAGTCCCTTAACAAATTGGGAAGATTAGAGACGGCTGTTGACACCCTCAAGCAGAGACTACCTGTCGAGCTGTTTACCATTGTGAATGAGACACTTAACGAGGTCGACCAACGGCATCCTAGCTCATTACGCGGCGGCTCGACCAACTCTCAGGGACTGCACATCTACGGCAGTCGAGAGACCCAAATGAGAGCAGATGTCATTTACGATCTCCTGTGGACGCTTTTTGGCAAGTTTGAGGCTATTGCTGAGGGTCACCGCGTGTTCCACGAGGCGATCAAGGCCCTCATCCGACGAGAAGGCGCTGGAAACAACAGCGCCCTGTTGGGTAGCTTCAAGGAGCTTTGGAATCTCTACCAGAACGAGATTCGCTCTTTGCTGCACAACTACGTCACCACGGACGCCGACGTGTACCAGTTTAGTACATCACCAAAGCTTGGGACCAATGCCAATGGCAAAAAGGATGCCGCTAGAGAGCACCTATTCAAGTTTTCTGAGGGCGACCCCAAAGCTGTTGATATGACGACTGAATACGAGGCTCTTGAGAGCATTATCCGATCTGCCGTTCCCGGCTTGACTGACACTTCTCGGAAGGCCGGGGCTGACAAGAAGCGACCAGTACCCGAGGGCAGCACTAAGAGAGGAGGAGGCGCTACAGGTTGGGAGAACAAGCAGACAACTGGTACATACAAGTCTCTGGTCGAGCCCAGCGTCTTCAACATGAGCTTGCTCCTCCCTCCTACTCTTGTCTTCCTTCAGCGTCTCAAGATGATTGTACCACCGGGCTCAGATCTTGCCACCAGCACATTGACGTCCTTCTTGGATAACTTCCTGGTCAACGTCTTCCAGCCTCAGCTGGATGAGACTCTCGGAAAGTTGAGCGATACCATCTTTGGCGAAGCTGATACATTTTTACAAGACCAGGAATGGACTCAAGTTGCCAGACGCCCCGTCTTCAAGGGCACGACAGCTTTCTTTGCCATTGTCACAGCTTTCTGCCGCATGCTGGGCACCATCCCACACGATCAGGCTTTGAGCACGCTCATCATTACCCAGATGATGAGATACTACGACCGTGCTTTTGGATGGTACAAGTCCCTTGTGAGTAAAACTCAGGCGCAACCAGACAAACCCACAAGGCTACGCATGTCCGCAGCGATGGCTCTAGAGGAGGGCGATGTCCAAGAAACTATCAAGCAACTGTGGACATCGGACACACTGGAGCGCGAACTTCTCGAGAAGGAAGTCGGTTTGCTCATTGTTCAGACCAATGAGAAGCGCATGGAGATGGCCGACATCATCCAAGACAAGGACACCATCTCTTCTCTTTGTCTTTTATATACCAGCATGAAGTGGCTTGCAGTCAAGATCTCAGGTCTGCGTCACATTACTCGCAACGAATCCGACTCTTCCCGCCCAAACATGAACCGAGGCTCGAGCAAGCGGTGGACGCTCATGAACGACCCCAACAAGGCGACAAACGAAGATGGACCTGTGTGTCTGCCAATGACGCAGGAGACCGTCCAGTAAGTTTTCTTCTCTTCTTGAAGTCCCCATGCCATTCTTGCCTTGCTAACACAAATACCAGGGCTTTCGATGGAATCGTCTCGTCGTTTGAAGAACTTGCCGGCACCGCGCTCTTGACCCTCCACATGGAGATTCGATGCGAAATTATCTACTCCCTCCGCACTGCCCTGTCCACCGACACGGCCCCCTATCTTCTCGACCAGGAAGTTACGGAGCCTGATCCGCAAATCCTCAATCTCAACTCGGACCTCGTCCTCTACGATGAGACCATTGCGCGATACCTTCGCGCCAAGGAAACGGCCTTCATCCGCACCGGTCTGGGCTTGCTCATCAACGACTACCTAGTCACCAACGCTGCCTTTGTCTCGCCCATGAACGCAAAGGGATGCGGCCGCATGCAGCTCAACATCTTGGTCCTGCAGCAGAACCTCAAGAACGTGGAGGAGGGCGTCGACCTCGCGCGCGCGTCAAATTACTTTGCCCTCTTTGACAAGGGACCCGACGCTATTGTCGAAAAGGCCAGCGAAGATAAGGACAAGGACGAGCACGCGGACCCGTCTGACACATTTAGCTACGAAGAGCTGAGGACGCTGCTGGAACTGTGCTTTAGCGAGCAGCTGTCCAACCCCGAGCGGGGGATCGCCAGCGCCGCCAAGAGGCAGATGGCGGATAAGATGCTTGGGCTTAGCGAGCACATGTGGCAGACTTAGAAGAAGGAGAGAGAAGTGGTCTGTTTTTTCACGGCTGATGATGTGTAGTTGATTCGATCACGGCTGGCTGGCTATGGTCTAACTATACTTGCACTTTGCGAGGCGTTCAGGAGAGGTAGAGAAACAGAGAAAGAGGGTTACTGACATCATCTGGACTTGCCCTATCATGTGGTTTCGGTCCTACTGCGTGGCTACGACACACACACCAGAGTTGTCGTTTCCGATTCATCACCGAAATCTGGGAGAAATGACACCCTGCAAGTCTTTATGAAATTTTGGGGGGGTATTATTCTTGTAGTCTATAGCTTTTTCAATGCCAGCAAACTTTTCCCAACCACATGTACACGAAAACACAGGCACACAATTCGTAATTCTTCCGCATCCACCTTTTCTCGTCCTTCCATCTCTCTCATACATTTCACCCATACATCCCGCCACTCAGACTCGCAGCACCCCAGCACCATCCATCACCAATCCTCTCACGAAGAAGCAACGAGATCTCTCCCCCTGTTGATCTGCACCTTCTTGTCCTCGCCACCGCTGACCAGACCCCACGTCTGGTCCCACGCGAGGCCAAACACCTTGACGCCCTCGCCGCCGGCGGGCGCCTTCTTGCCCTTGAGCCACTCCCGACCGATGGAGTAGACGGCCTCGCTGACGCTGCCGCCGCCCTCGTCCTTTGTCGCGGGCCGCACGCTCCGCAGATCCCAGATCTTGACGGTGCCGTCGTGCGACGCCGACGCCAGGCTGTAGTCGTTGTCCGGGGAGGGCGCGAGCGCCGAGACCATGTTGGCGTGGCCGCGGAGGGTGAGGACCGAGGTGGCGGACGCCGTGGCGCGGGGGTCGAGGAGGGTGACGTGGCGGGCCGAGGAGCCGGCGGCCACGAGGGAGGAGTTGCGCGGCATGGGCGCGAGGCAGAGGAGCGGGTGGAGGGTGGTGAGGGTGGAGACGACGGAGGCGGTGGTGAGGTCGAGGGTGCGGAGGGTGTGGTCCGCCGATACGGAGTAGGCGACGGTGGCGTCGGTGGGGTGGAAGGCGGCGCCCGTGACGGAGGCGTCGGCGGCGTGGGCCTGGATCATGGCCAGGGCGCCCTTTTGCGGGACG